CGTCACGTACGCAGTGATAATATAAGCCTAAACCAGATGCATCATGGGATACTATTCGATCGTCGTCTGGCGCCTCCCAATAAATCAGTGTACGAGACTCCAACGGTTCGTGACAATTGTGCTCATTCTCATTTAATTTTCGGTCTCTCGACCTTTCTTTACTTCATGCGTGTTTCTGAGGGGCACTTTTTATGCCGTGTTATTAGAAGAAATGGAAATTGTAAGTAGAGAAGAGAAGTTGTTTGATTGTGTTACAGCATATTTTTAGAGGTCGTGGGTCTACATGATTTCCGCTGTTAACTGCACGTCGCTTCTCAGAGTTTGACACGTCAGTAATTTGCCATGCCGTGCTTATACTTTGTTTAGGTTCGTTTCTATTGCAAGATATGTTTTAAGGTGCTAAGTATTGGCTCTCCAGGGACTAAGAATAAAATATTCCGTTAACATGTTGCTTACTTGCATTCTATATTGTGACGCCGCAGGTGACGCCGTGCCCAGCTATTTGATTAGGACTGTTTGCAAGCACAGTGCGTTGCACGAACATCATATTTATCTTCGTCCAGCTTTTCTTCAGAGACTGCCGTAGCTTTACTTTGAGAAAGCTATACGTTTTCCTAGAGACATTCTTATGTTTTTTACATCAATTTGATCGAGTGCATTCAAAGGAGAAACAACAATTACACAGTTGACAGAAGTATGACTGACTTTCCATAAATCCAGTGGGTAAGACGGCAACACTGAAAATCACGACCACTAAAATTGCCTCGAGACAGACTTGCTTAACCTTTAGGTAAACGTTGGAATAGATATTATTCGAAATTTCAGCNAAATCCAGTGGGTAAGACGGCAACACTGAAAATCACGACCACTAAAATTGCCTCGAGACAGACTTGCTTAACCTTTAGGTAAACGTTGGAATAGATATTATTCGAAATTTCAGCCTGAAAACTAAGTATTGATAAACGCCGCAGGTAATGGCAGTCGCAGCGCGATACTTTGAATTCGACAAAGCTCAACGCGACAAATTGCTGATTACGTAGGACCCCTCCCTGATGTTCTCAATTGTCAAAGTGGCACGTGACCAGACCCAACCAGAGCCTCTCCTCGCTCGCTCTAGGGGGCGGTAAGATGAGAGACCCTAGGAACGAGGTTGGGTGTCTCAATAAGATTTTCTGGACCATACCAAGTATTTTCAATCAGAAGTAAATTACCTGAACGGGAGTGACCTTAAGAAAAAGTCTCGTTCTTGGAATTACGATAAAGAAACCAACAAGACTTTCGTGGCTTCAAAACATATCTTCAAGATGTATTTTGCTATTATTTGAAGTAGTGTCCTCAATGCAAAATAGTTTTCGACTGTCGATTCATTTGTTATTATGATGCTAAAAGTATAATTTGAAATGTTTTAATTTACTTGGGATCAAACAAAGGCTGGATCAAACATACATAATTTTTTATTCCTGCATACGGCTTTGTCT